TTGGAGGTTCAAATCATCAAGACATAAATATAAATACATTTAGAAAGACTTGCAATTCCACAAGCAAAGAATTCATTGAAAAACAAAACAAACAACTATCACTATAAGATGAGAATACGTAGAAAATTAAAGTTATTGAGTTTAAAAAGTCCAAAGAATATAATTATATTTTAGTCTTTAACATATAGTTTGATTCATAAACACTATATTCATAGGATAATTTAAACAAGATATCAAAAATGAACTATAACTGTAACTCAAAATAGTTCACGTGCAATACACGTGGGCACCAACTAATAAACTAAAAAGTCGCAAACATATTTCTATATCACCGATCAAAACACAAGTTAAAAAATCTCAAATGTGAGTCAATCATAAAAAAAATCTATCTCCAACATACTCTTTATTTAGACTAACTAAAATAGAGAGTAATGAATGACAAGATGACACATATACATGTCTTGTAAATGCATTGACTATAGAAGCCAAACTCACTCTAAAATAGAGAATCATATTGGAGTTGCTAAAAAAATTTACTTTCTATGTTAACTTTTCAATAAAGATGCTCTTTATAGACAATGAATATTGTAACGCTGCCCATAGATGACCACGTCAATAAGTCACTTCGTGGGATTCTAAGAAGGTTGTGGTTTGGTGGGCCAAGAGCGAGTTTTTAGCTCATGAAAGATGTCACGTGGGACCCACTACATCGTCGTGCCAAGCTCATGCTCGGGCCACCACATGGGGTCTCACTATATTTGGGGTCCGCAGATATATTTACCTAGCAAAACTATACAATTTGAGGAGAAAATGAGAAAAGATAAATTGACATACATTTGTCAAGATAAATAGAATTGTCAAACAGAACTTGAGCAAACATAATCAAGGTCCCGAGGCAAGGTTCACGCAACAGGGTCTCGAGGTATAGCGATCTCTCGGTTGGGTCTTGCGGTAGGGTGTATTCCACTATCTAATTAATGCTTGAAACACTTATTATCGATTTATTGGCTTGCATTGCATGTGCCTAGGCCACACATGTGTGGCCTTCCTCTATAAATACCCTTATATTCTCACAAGAAAGGACCGAGGGTTGAATGGATGTAAACCCTTACGCTCTAGTCCTTAAAGAGGCAGTCTCTCTCTCCCTCATTTCTCCTTTTCTGCATCTCCTCCATCATTCACACTTCCTCTTGGGTCCCTTCGACAATTACGTGTATGAATCCAGTTAACTCCCCATTAACACTCTCTATTTTGAAATATATGATCTTTAAAATGGATGGCACTATTAGAGATGCTCTCATTCTCTATGTACTGTAACATCTATTTTTCACGCGTGGTAGCATTTATTTTTACACTAAAGAGCTATTTGAATAATTTCAAGTCCATGAAAATATTTCTAATTTTTTATTTAATCTATAAAAATTAAAATCATTAAACCATGATATTTTGAAAAATATTGCTTTGATCAAAATTTTTTTTTAAAGTGTGATACTCTTTCTAATATTGATGGCTTAATATTTTTTAGAATTAAACATTTTAAAGGAAATTTTACAAACAAAAACAAAACTCCTCAACTGAGATATATAATTAATACCTTTGTATTTCAAAAAATGAGAAGAATAAATTTTAAATAAGAAATCTTGGTATAAAAATAAAAAGCCTCATTTATATATTTATTGTCTTAGGCCGCCCTTGACATCGCTTAATGGGGGCTATGTGCATTTCAAGTTAGATTCATAGTCACAAGCTGAAAAGATGTATGATTCAACGATTCTTTGTGAGCATTAAAAAAAATAAAACTTTATCATCAAGTATAATTCAAACAAGGATTTTTTGGGTCTTTAAGGACAAGTCCATTTCAAAAGACACATCTATCCTTATTTAAATACAGGTATAAAGTTTAATAATAACCATATAAAATGCACAATTCAAATAAAATCAAACATGCTACATTTTAAATCTTTCATAATTAAAATTCTCTCAATACCTCATATATATATATATATATATATAGAGAGAGAGAGAGAGAGAGAGAAAGTATTTTTGGATCCATATAAAATTCACATTTCAAAATTCAAAATAAATTCACATTTCAGATCTTTCAAAATTTAAATACACACACAAGCACACAAAAACACACACACACATATGTATATAACGCCATTAAAATCCCATTGTCACTGTCATTGGACAGTGAAAATACCCTACTGTTACTGTCTCTAAGACTGTGACTATCTTGGGATAATGAAAATATCCCACTGTCACTATTCTAGAATAGTGACACCATTGTCATTGTCCCGGGATAGTGATAGTTACCCAAATGCCTATCCCACAAGAAGTTACTCAAACGACTATCTCGCAAGAAGAACACATATCAAAAATAAGAGAATTTTTTTATAATATCTTATCTTATCTTATTTTATTTTACTACCTATAAAAGTATGTTAAGATTAAAAACTTTTAAATTCCAATATTACCCTTATATAATGATATAAGGTCTATTTTATCCTTCATGCTAAATTTTAGACCATGTAAATTCTGGGACTAAATATTCATTAATTAATATCTTTCATGTTCTTCCTTCTTTAACTTGATGACTTTATAAATTCCACAATTTAATGTTCTTTAACGTAACAATTATCACGAAGAAGGGTTCTACAGATTACGCAAAGCTATGTTGCAAATCCTTTAATACCCACCTGATTCTCATCACATTGCCTTGCATTAACCCCTATAATTTTCAGTTTTTCATTACCAAAACATCAAATTGCTCTACTAGACACCCATCATTCTCGAATGCAACCTAAATTTCTAACTAGGACCAATAACAAAGATAGGCATTGTCATACACAGCTCAAGGACTTGGGGTAGGATCTTTGCACAAAAGGGAATGGGAGGGCAGGATTCTTGACCTAATACTATTCATCACTTTGTTTTTTATCTCCATATCCTTGATTTATGTGTAATCATTTTTCTATGTAATGTATGTTTGTATAATATATGTAGACAAATCTCATTTTTCAACTTTATGCAGATTTCAATTAGGAACTTTTTAAAAAGATTGTACAGATTCTAATTTATGGGTGCAGGAGAAAGTTGTAGCTCCGTTAATTACATATTTAAAAAGTTGTGGATAAGATGCGAATCTTAGATGGTAACAAATTTTATGAAATTTTCAAAGAAACTTGTTGTTTATTTTTCCTACATTATGTTTCAAATTGAAATTTGAGGTTCTTTTTGCGTAGGTATGTGAAAAAGAAGGCATGCGATAGTGGTCAAATGTCTAACAACGCCTCTCAAGACAGTGGAGAAGGCACACATGATGTTTGTGTTCTGGATGGAGTTGAAGGCTATTGAGGTTTTCTTGGTGGTTTGTTTATGCAGTGTGTTTTCAACAATGCAATCCAACGTGAGCATAAAATGGTAATGTTCTGTGAATGTAGTTCATTTTCCTTTGTAGTAGTTTGTCTATTTGATCCTTGATGTTCTAGGCAGCTCAACAGAGCTCATGAGAAATATAAATATTTTATGGATTTGATGAGAAAGGATTCAATTTTGAAGTTTTATAGTGGTTTGTCTTTGCTTTGTTCAAAAACTTTACTTAAAGTCACAAATCTTGAAGTGCATTCTTTACATGAAAAAACTTTGCAGTCTAGCTTGCTTGGTTAGATATGTTTTTCAACTTCTATTTTCATTGGAGTTGGAATAAATGGCATTGAATGTTTATCTTTATATAGGTGAAAATACAACAGGAAAATATGTCTAATGCATTTAAGCTTTTCCCCATATTCTTGTCAAGGCATGATAGGAAAAAAATTTAGAAACTAAAAACAATATTTGATCCCTAAGATTTACATGTAGGACTACTTTGATTTGTTCAATTGCCTTTTGAACTTATTTTTTTGGTATTTTGGCATTGTGTCTGTGTACTTTTTAGGGATGTAATTGTCTTACTAATGCTCCTATTGTTAGGAGATCAATTAATCCCAAAAAAAAAAAAGAGTGGCTTTTTCTCTATGTACTTTCATATTTAACAACCGTTTATTTCATTAAAAGCATTAGCCGTTTATTTCATATAATAATAAAATTGTTCACGTGCAACACACGTGTGCGTCAACCAGTACAATAATAGATACACAAAACTTTTTAAACATTGCAATATCAACAACGATACTTGTGACATATCAAAGGACAAGACTGATGACACTCCTTGCTACAAATGATGAGTCAATATCCACATCGATTTGAATACAAACTAGCGTAACAAGAAACATTAAAACAAGAAATATAAGGCTTAGATTGAAGAAGTGTGAGATGGAAATGAGAGGGCATAAGACCGATAGGATGGAAACGAGAGGAGAGAGAATGAGTGGGATGGAAAAGAGACGAGAAAGAGAAATTTAAATTAAAAATAAAAGAGAGATTGATGGAGAGAAATGATAGAAAAACTAAAGAAGAGAGAGGAGAGATAAATTGAATGAAGAGAGTGGAGAGAGAGAGTGGGATAAAAGAGATATATGAGAGAGAATGAGTGGGATAGAAGAAAGAGGAGAGAGAGAGAGATTGATGCAAAAGAGAGGACAGAGAAATTAAAGGAAGAGAGAGGAGGGAGAAAGAGTGGGACCAAATAGATAGAACACAGAAAAAATAATTTAAAGTCAAAATAGGAAAAAAGAAAAAAAGAAAAAGGCAGGAGTCCTATGGATTTAGTTACCAAATAGTGCATATCAGGTGTTCTTAATGACCCAATAAGTACACGTATATACTCATTAGCAAAAAAGATTCTCATGTTATAGTTGGTTCCAATTTTTCCAATGTTATATCAGTATTTGAGTCTAATGTGGACAACACCCACCCTCGGGACAAAATAATAGTTACAATAGTAAAAGAAAAATCAAATCAAGCTTTCCAAATCTCTACTAGAAGGCAACAATATTTACATACATTGAACATAAATGGAGATTGGAGAGTTCATTATGTATGGTAAGATACTGCAGACACTAATAGGCATTGCCTTGAACCAGTTTTTTCAATTTCTTGTTCCTCAATCTCTCAGCATACACTTCATGCCCATGGTATTCATACCTGGACACAAACAAATATTAAAGTTCAATCCAAATACAAATAGTTATTTATCAATAAGCTTATTAGACCACCACCGCCATTTTATTGGTCAATTTTTTTTAAAAAAAACCGATACACATAATCACTTTTTCACCGTGAGCAACAGTGAAATCCAAGTTTTTCCCTTGTTCGACTATTAAACCACCCTGTATGAATATTAATTTATACCTTTGTCACTTTGTTGTTCTTCTAGAGTCATGACTCATGAGGTTTGGTGCAGTTTTAGATCACCAGAGTTCAAATTGTATTAGACCAGAAGCATGCATATGTGAATTTATTCAAGGAGCTAATGGTTTTGGATCTAAATAGTGATTAAATTGCAACTTCTTGTGCCACAAGAGAGTAGAGGTGAAAGATTGGCCGACTGAAATCAGTGTGTTATACCACACCATTATGCAAATTTGTTCTACTATTGCTGTTTTTGGCAATCTGTGTCATGTCCAGCATACTCAGATTGAGACATTATACTCGTTTCTAGTCGATTAGTAAAACTTATTAGTATTAGATTCTCATTCTCTCTCGATCAAATTCTCCTTGAATAAATCCCCTATAAATTGAAACCTTATTTGAGTCACATTCTAGTAAAATTGAATAAAAATCCATTCAATTGTAAAAAAATTCACACAATACTAACCAAGAAATCAAAAAAATAATAATAATAAGTCAAACATTTTTTTGACACAGTACTGGTCAAATAACCTTAACATGTCAAAATTGGGTTGGTCATGTTTGAAACTAACCTATTCATTTAGAGCATCTCCAATAGGCTCTCTATTCTCACTCAACTCTTTATTTTAGAGAACCAACCACCAAAAATCAAGCTCCACCAGACCCTCTATTTAGACTAGCTAAAATAGAGAGCTTTATTTGACTTTTTACATTTGGAGAGTCTAACTCACTCTCTATTCTATTTTTAATAAATAAAAAGATGACATATATACATTTTTTCATTAAATGCTATTGACTATAAGACTATTTTTTACTAGAATAGAGAGTCTATTGGAGTTGTTTAAAATATTTAACTCTCTATTTCAAAATTTTATCAAAGATGCTCTCTATTTCAGAAAAAAAAAAATTCCTCTAAAATAGAGAGTATTATCGAAGATGATCTTACTATACGTGTTAGCAGACTATATCACTTTTGAGTTCATGTTGGAGAATTATGTAACAAGTTAAAACTTGCCACTCTCAGCTTGGTGGAACTTCGTTCTAACACATCCTGGTGGGATTCAAAATGGCGAGCAAACATTTCTATGTTACAAACAAAGTATGTAAGACCATATTTAATAATACTCTCTATTTTAGAGAACATCTTTTTTTTAAAATAAAGAGCATCTTTAATAAAATTTTGAAGTAGAAAGTGAATTTTTTTAGTTAACCCCAATGGACTTTCTTTTTTAGTAGAAAAATAGTTTCAAAGTCAAGAAAATTTAATGAAAAAATGTATGTGTCGTCTTTTCATTCATTAAAAATAGAATGGAGAGTGGGATACACTCTCCGAATGTGGAGAGTCAAATTACGCTATCTATTTTAACTAGTCTGAATAGAGAGTTTATTGGAACTTAATTTTTGATAATTAACTCTCTAAAATAGATAATTGAGTGAAAATAGAGAACATATTGAAGATGCTCCAATAGCTATAACTCTGGTTCAAAAATGCTGACCACCATCCTTAATATGAAGTAGAATTCTACCATGTCGAGAAAAAATATTAGTATCATATCGTCATATACAATTTGTTAAGGCCAATATATAACTTTGAGTGTCATTTACAACTCTCTCGTGTGTTTGGGATTGATCCCAAACAATATAAAAGATTGTAACTAACTCCCAAAAGATGTAATTTATTCTCAAAAGTTATATATATATTAATATCGATTTTAAAATAATAGAATCAATCCTTTTTTTTTTGTAACTTGACTTCCAAAAATTGTATATTAAACCACAAATGTGGTAAATTTTGGAAACCAAGCCAAATCTAATATTAATGAGAACTTCTAAATTTTAGCTACCTGAGTGGTAGGGATATCAAAGGGCTCAAGCTGTCTGCAAGTTTCACCGCTTCCTTGTCAGTATTCACGATCTGATTGAAGCACAAGTATCTGCCACAAGTGGACTGATCTTCGAAAGCTCGAATATGAACATCAGCTAGAAATTTCACATCAACAAATGCTAGGACCCCATTTTCATACATCTGTGCTGCCCCTGTTTCAAAATTGGCATTAGTTACTGATGTTTGTGTTATGCACAAGATCACAAACAAAATAGTAAACGAAACAAAAAAAAAAAACAGACAGACAGAAAACAAGCATGATTACTTCCAAAAGCTCACATGACCACAGGGGCGGCCCAACCTTATCAGGGGCCCTAGGGAAAATGTTAAACAAGGCCCCATTAATATATGTACTTGATTAATATACATAATATTAAATAATAACATTTAATAAATATTGTTTATTTTTTGAGATGCTAAAATATTAATCAAGCTTTTAAATTGATATTTTACTAATAAACAATTTCCAATAGATAATATAGTTAATCTTTTCACTTTTTCGGATAATATAATTGATTTTAGATAAAATTTTATTAATTTATAATTCAAAAAACTTGCTTCAAGTAGAATAAACTCATAATGACATTATTTACAATATTCAATAAGTAATGGAGACATTTGAAAAAGAATATAATCTTTTTATGTATCATTATATCGGTATTCCCATTTATAGTTTTTACATATGAAAGTTCTTAAGACTTTTTCGTAAAAATAAATAAACAATAAAATAAGTCACGTTTAAAAAATCTTCAAGTTTAAGACCATATTTTTTTCAAAACTTTCATCACATTAAGAATTTAATCTTTTAAAACTAAATTAAGAGTCAAAAACATTTTATCTATTTTTAATATTTTAAACTTATATTGGATTAAATGAATAGTATGATTTCTATTTAAGAATATTTTTCTTGTTGATAATTTTTTTTAGTGCTCTAGTTATTTCTTCTTTGATATTAACAATCACTTACACTGTATGCACTTGTGTGTGTATGTGTGTGTGGGAGAGAGAGAGAGAGAGAGAATTTACACGTGTTTGACATATATTTTTTATTAGAAGTTTGACACATCGAAAGAGACTTAATTTGATTGTTTAAGAGATTATTAAAAGTAATAGAACAATTGTTGGGTCCTCTTTTTGCAATGGGTCATTGTGTAATGTAATGGTAGAAATCTCTTTTATAATTTCATTAGGTCATTTGAGTTCAAACCACCTTATTACAAAAGATCTTTAACTCAAGATATTTGGTGCCCCAAAAATCTTGGGGGCCCTAGACAGCCACCTAAGTGGCCTATGCCTATGGCCGGCCCTGTATGACTAAAAAAAAAACCTTTGACACGAGATTATGAGTGCAAGTGAATAACTACCCTTCTCTTCTTTCACCAAAACGACCAAACAAGTAACACTAGTCAGGCGCTCCAGTGTATGTGGGATAGTGATTCTAAAATGGAGTCGAGATGTAAATTATGTACATAGCATGGATCCACGTTATTTCTCAATGTATATACAACTTTCAAAACCTTTGATTCTTTATTGAAATACAAGACACCCGAAATAGCTTGTTTGGGTGAAAAAGAAAAAAGAAAAAGTAAATAACCTTATGTGTTTAATTAGTACCTTTAAGATAAGACATTGTCACTTGGGCATTTTGTCGAGCAACACCTGGCCCAACAACCAGTCCAGCGTTGATGGATACCATGTTAAGCATTCTGTCCATGGCTAAAGCCCAAGCGGCTTGTTCAGAGAGCGTCTTTGCTAAGGCATACCACAACTGCAAAGCAAATAAAGCCGTTCAACAACCTCTAAGAACAATCAATTTTTTGATATGTTTGGCTTTTTCTTAGAGGATCTGAGTCAAATTTTAGCTCTCTTTGTCTGAATTTAAATTGCTTTATTCATATTATTTTACAATAATTTTAAGTAGAATACCTCAAAATTTGTACTTAATCAACTTCATGCATTGAAATTTATCGTTACGATCGTAATTGTGAAAATTGAGTTTGGATCTTGACCATATTGTGCTTAAAGTGATATGCAGAGGGCTCGAGTCTTAGAATGACTATTCTTTCTAAAATGGGGGCAAATTGTCTACTATTTATTTCTCTTAGATTCCACTACATACATGAGTCTTGTGCACCGGTGTGTGACCAAAATTGTGGGAATACAAAGCAATGGAACTTTCCCTATTAATAAAATTGTAAGATGAAAATCTGAAATTGGGTAATTAGATTAGTGGAAAGATAAATCTCAAAGTGATTTGTATATGAAAAAAGTTAATCAATATGAACTAAAATAGCTTATCTTTTAAACAAATCACTAAATAAAAGGGATCAAGAAGCAAAGAAACCCATGGATTGGTTGGGATTAGATGGTTGACCATAACTTGTTATTCAAATCTTTGGTGTACCAACAGTGAACATCTCTACCAACAAATTGGAAAATTATACTTTACACCCTCAATTTATAGCTCCATCTCACTTTACCCCGATATTATTGAGTTTCTTATATTACATACTCAAGTACTTGAATTGATTTCAAATTTTTCAAAACAAAACCATTGCTAAGTTTGATACAATCCGATAACTTTTTGTTCAATTTGTGACATATGTCTCCAATTGGCTAATGATAAAGGATCAAAGAGGAACTTAAAATAGTAAATAATTTGAAAGAGTTTCAAACCTTCATCTTCCTGCAAAACTCTTTATCACTCCATGACCTTTCATCCACATCCTTCTCTGAACTAATATTCTCTCTCCATATTGCAGCAGTTAATGAAGAGCCGAACACAATCTTCTCTATGCTCTCTGTCTGTGCACATGCTTCCATCACATTGATTGCACCTCTCACCTCTAAATCTGCAATCTCATCCTACCCAGACCAACAAATTGAAATTAAATTCAATGTCACAACTCAGAAGGCAATAATACGAGAAGAGCAATGTAATTGGGACTTAATTTATGCACTAAATTTAAGGACATAATACATTATAATCCTTAGATTAGTAGTGGGTCTCAATATTGAATGAAGTTCACGATTAATCTAGTGACAAAGCGGATTCAGTTCTCAAACATTGTTTCAAGGATATCAGTCCTAGTTTAAGTTCGCAATATTAAATATCAACTTGGAGAACACTGAAATACATCGATTGCAGCATTACTAAATAATATTTGCGCAATACACCCGAAATGCTAAAATACAAGAAGTTGGTCATGACAAAATGTACAAGTCATCACGACACTGCAAAATGGTATCGGATGATAAGCTGTAATTCGATAATGTCTCCAAGTCAATCATGAGTAGAGTGTAACTCATGACTTACAAAGAACATGAAACAGTCTAAGAATGTCATTTCGGCTTCGACTCAGCCGAATCACATCGGTATCTTCCAATGGTTTGAACCATTAATCCGATCTATGTGACAAATACACTCACATCATATCCATCAGGACTATCCAAACAGCAAAACAGAGCACAACAGCCGTTCAAAGCATGGAAAATGCTATGGTAATCCAACACATCCACACTAAGCACTGCTAATCCCTTCTCTGTCCTCTCCAAATCCCTTATTTTCTTCACTATCTCTGTCTCTCCTGCAACAAATTGAGGATACACAAAAACCCATGTTTAACAACAATCCAACACCTGAAAGGACTCCTTAAAATCCACACCCAAACACAGAAATAGAGAGAGAGAGAGAGAGAGAGAGAGAGAGGCGCCTTACCACTCTTTTGGATGGCTGCATGAACTGTATACCCTCTAGCTAATAGTCCCTTAAGAATCCAAAAGCCCACATAAGTTGATGCATCAAGAACACAAACGGTGGGTTTTTCGGGGTCTAATTTCATTTTTGTAACTTCTGTTTCAATCATTTTCTTCCTCTTCTACCTCTTGTGGGTGTTTTAGTTTTCTACTTCTTCTTTTCAGCTATCTCATTATCTATATATAGAGATATAGGTAAGTATGAACTTGAAGAATTATGGACAGTAATTATAGAGGAAGAGTTGGTGAACTACACCACGATCACGTTCTTATCTACTCATCACCTTTGTGCTAACTTGGATGGCCATTTGATTTTCATATTTTTAATGTTATTTACATGGGAAGAAAGTTAGGTTTTCATATTTTGTTGAAGTCCTTATTTTCTGCATGCATGTGCCAAGAGTGTGTTAGAATCTCAAATTCAGTTAAAAATATTTTCTCCATTTTTTGTTGGATATTTTACTGTTAAGATTAATAATCAACTATTACAACTTTTAAATAATGATGTATCTATAACAGATAAGAAAACCCACATATAAATAAATAACAGTTCAAAGAAGATACAATGGTAATGTTTAGAGTTGGTTTTTTTTAGGTGAAAATTTGCCCTTTAAAAAGCTTCGCAAATAAATCAGAGTTAAAAAAGTCTTTCAAAATTGTTTATGGTATTTTTTTAAAAATTAAAAAAGTATGTTTGAACTGACTTTTTAGTTTTTGTTGGTTTTTTTGTGTCAAAATAAAAAATATTTACATGTATTTATAAATTATATAATAGTTTCTAAAATATGAATTTTAAATTCTTTTACATCACTAATGATATTTTATGAATATAACAAATTAAAAAGTTATGTGGGACCTACGATAAAACTCTAAAAAATCGAAAGAAAAGTTCATATAATCAGTTTAAATACGTCTTTTTGGGTCCAAAAAATTGCTATATAAATTGATAAAAAAAGTCAAGGTTCAAATAGTCCTAACTTGTTTTAGGATTTGTTTGGTGTCCGGTCCACTATGATAGACTTTTTGCCCAATAACGACGGTGTGTAAACTTATGCGGACAATCTACAATAACAAGACATACAAGCCCTATTGTAAATATCATTTTCAATTCACATCTCAAAAAATAAAAGAGAGAATGAATAGAGAGAGAGAGAGAGAGAGTAGAGAGAAATTTGGTTTAATAATACCCACATAAAATTCACATTTTAAAATTCAAAAAAATAAAAATAAAATCTCCTTCATGTTAAATATTTTAAAATTCAAATATATATAACGTATACACACATAAATATAACTGATTTGGCATTATGGACAATCACTGGCATGTCCTGATATAGTGAAAAATACCATAATTACAATGTCATTGTGCCCAAGGCTGGAGTCAGATTTTTTTGTGCAGTGGAGGCAATCTAAGATCATAATATTGACATTATTTTTGCAAACACAATAACTAACGATTATTTCATAGCTCTAATTTCATTAAAAGAACAACAATTACGGGCGAAAACCATAAAGAAAGGCAATATACTAGAAAGGCCAAAAACAAAACTTACTATAAAAATATCCACAAATGTCAAGATTCAAGACTATTTGAATAAACTATTTTTATAAGATTGAACTCATTTATCTCGTCTTTATATCATTCAATTTTCAAGGGTGATAAATTTTTCAATGAAATTAATACAGAACCAATCAAATCATGTTTTAATTCAAATTCAATAATCAAAACTTTATTATCTGTTATACCAAAATAAATGGGAAATAATAACTAAAGCCCTACTTATCATGTAAGAATAATAAAAATAAAAAATAAGTTTTAAAATTGAAGAAATAGTTTTATGCATAATCTCTTGCAACTGCTCTGATAGAATCTTCTAATATCCCATTTTCATTAAAGCTATTCACTTAATTGACTGGATAAACGTCAATTGAATTCGAAAACGAAGTCAAGAACGATGAAGAGAGGAAAAACAAAAAAGAGATAAGAAGAGAAATAGGATGCTGAAGAGAGAAAATTTCAAAAGAATTGATATTTATAACGTATTGTGTCTAACGTATGGTTATCAAGTTTGTGTGACATTTACTCAACGTTGGTGTCGAATTATTTATTTGAATGGACTAATAAATTCAGTTATTTATCACTCAATTTCGTTAAAGCTAAAAGTCCATTAATTATGTGTCAATTTCGTGTATCACATTTAGAATTGAGAGGAAAAAAAATAATTTCTCAAATTTATCTAAACAAGAAATTTTCTGTGAAAAATGCGAATGAAATGATAGAAATGAGGAGTCGAAGTTCGAATGAAGAGCAATAGACGAAGGACGTGAAGAATAAGGTTGGCAAAGTTATGTTTTGATGATTTCAAAATTACACTAACCTTGTATTTTATGAAAATTTCAATGGGGCAAGATCAAAAAATTTTGAAATTTTACCTATCTCCAATTTTTTTAAAAAAATTCCAGTGAGGGCAGCTGCCCCCACTTACCCCATTGAAGATCCACCACTGTGTCATTAGATAATAAAAATATCATAGTGACAGTGTCGGTATCCCTATCACAACTATTTTGTGATAATGAAAATAACAAAGTGATAATGAAAATGACACAGTGATGAATTTAAGAAACATCGAAGACAAGGGACAGATGTTGAGTACCAACAGATAAATCAAAACAAAATATTTTAAAAGTTCAATATGCTTCACAGATTTCTTGCAATTGCAACCAGCACAGGGAGAAGGTAAACAAATACGCCTATAGAGATAGATCCCAGCTATAGCATTGAGTCAACGCACAGGGCCAAATATGTATAAGATCAGCAAGTGATTATATTAAAATGGAGGTCAGACACATTGGTATCTCCAACTCTTCCCCTTGGTATTTGCAACTTGCTCCATTGCTCTCAACGCCTTGAATCCATGTACGGACTTGTACTGTCTATTGAATAAGTAAGACAAAAAAATCACAATATTTTTTAGAGTAAATTACATTCACATCCCCCTAAACTTTGTCACTAAAAAGCACAAACCCCCTCAAGTATGATATATTATAATGACACTCCTTGTCAGTCACAGTCAACTAACACACCTAAAGAAAGTTTTAAAAAGACTATTTTGCCCTTATTCAAAATAAATTAAACCAGCCTAGACCAAACCCAATACCCGAAACACTTCTCCACCACCGACCTTGTGTGTGTTGTGTTCTATCACTGATCGTCCATCAAACCCACCACCATAACAGCCTCCGTCAAACCCATATCACCAAAAACGTCTATCAAACCCACCACCATAATAGCCACCATCAAACCCATATCACTAAACAGTCAGACCCGTCACCTGCACAAAAAATCACCAAGGAAACCCCAATTTGTGTGCATTCCATGGTGGTGAGGGAAGGAGGAACCCTACCGAAATGCATCACCACCGCCGCCTGCCCAACATCCTCTTCCCTATCGTTGGTCTCTGCATCTCCAACGCCACTTGTCCTCTGTCCTCTCTTCCGTTCTGAACGAGCCAACCACCTACTTTATCAAATTGGTTAGGTCTGAAATAAGACCCGAAACCCACCACCGCAACCATCTCACACAAAAACTAGTACACCGTAAACCCAACAACACCACTGATCAATTGCCTAACAACTTTTAATTGAAGAAACCCTTGGCATATTGAAATCAGTAGGGGAGGTTGTCGCTTGAGATGGTTCAATGATGTGTCAAGGGTTTTGATGGAAGGTTCCTATTTGCAGTTTAAATGAATCTGTAAATTAAGAATTTCGGGTCAAAAATTGTTAATGCCATCAAGTTTTAATGGCATGTTTAAAGGATGCTAACGGCTCGGGTCTGTGGGTTACATGCGCACATACTTTAAGGGGTTCGATGTAATTTGTCAAAATGTGAAGGGTTTATTTGATTAAATGACAAAATTTATGGGGTCTAAATACAATTTATCCTATTTCTTAAAAGGTGATGGAGGTCCGACACATTTGTATAAGGTAGAAAAATGTCATGTAGCGTATTTGGGTTCTATAAGGGGATCTTTTGGTAAGTTTTGAAGGAAAAGAGAGGAGAGACAAAGAGATGGAGGAGAGGGAATTAAATAAAGACAAGAGAGAGAAAATAATAGACAGAATAAGGAATTCAATGAGTTATCAAAGAAAAGAATATTCTTGTTATTAAAAATAATACTTGTCAAGTATAGACCATATATTTTATATATTGCAGTTAGACTATCTCTAATAGAAATTCAAATCCTTATTCAAATTTAAGTAAAAAAATGGATAAAAAATTTAATTTGGTATAGACATCTCTAAATGGAAAAACTCAAATTAAAGAGAGATAAACTTAAATTTAAAAGAGTAAAATACGATCATTAGATCTTTAAAAGAGGGTAAAATTTCACTAAGGGTACGAATTTGAGTAAAAAAAATGAATCTCTCTTAATTTGATATGGATACAAGTCTAACTTTAAAGAAAATTTTTAAGAATTTTTTTTACCCAAATTTAAATTGAGTTTAACAAATGATAAGAATTAGAAATGCTCTCATATGTCTTTGATGAATTTAAAATTTTGTGTTTCTCCTTATTAACAAAGTAGACTAAGAAAGAGGTCTTGGTTTCTATTTAAATCAGCTCCGAACATGTCCGTTAAAACCCGTTTATTAATGGATTAATTATAATCTATCCCCTCCAATTATGTCCTTAATTTCAATCAGTTCCTCGTAGTTTCAAATACTGTTATTTGCCCTTCAAAGTTTCAAGTGAAATAAATTGATTAATAATAATGGTTGAACACCTGAAAGAACCATTACATCCTCTATCTTATACATTATTTCTTAAATTTTTGTCTTGAGATGTCAATTTTATTCCCAAAAAAAATGAGGAAAACAAAAAAGTTAAGACTAAAAAATAAAGAAACCTGAGTGTCTATCGAAAGGAAAAATTGAATGAGAGTTAATCATTCGAGGTAAGAGAGAATGGAAGGGCGAAGGGGTAAAGGGAGAAGTATTGATAGTGGGTATAGTGAGAAAAACAGGTGTAAAGGTAATTATTTCTTTTCAGCAAAATAGAGATCAAGTGAATTTGACATGTTTGACTTTTATTAATTTTTATTGTCTAAAAATAATTATTGAAGTTAATTACAAAATATTCAAACTTAAAGGAGACTATTTGTTAAAATTAAAATCTGAATGAGTGAGTTACAAACTACCTAAAGTTGAATGAGGCATTTTGTAATCAATCCTTCATTAGTTTATGATACTTTGCACTAATCAATAAATTTTAGGTAAAAATCGCTCATGTATCGATGTACGAAATAATCAACATAGACTTTTTTTCAACTCAAATTTAAGAATTTGTCCCAAGAGTTATGAATTTGAATAATTGAGGATGCAAAGTATAATTAGAACCACACTTGAAAGGAGCAAACTGTAATTAACAATTCAACATCTCGCAATAAGCTTTGATGAGTTGTTGGATAATTTATAGAGATAACGAAGTTGGTTCCTCTTGACCACGTGGCAACCATTTATAGGACTTGGTCCTTCTACAAATCTTCGTGTAATTCCTCAATATTGTAATGAAGGGATAGAGATTTTCACCTAGGATCAATTTGGCACTGTTTTGTGTACCGAATATATGGTTTCATTAAATAGATAAAGGTCAACTCTATCATGTGTAACTCACATGAGATGTCAATAGTGTCTGAATTTATACATAAGCCTATATTTGAAATACTTATAATACACGTGTTTCAATTTATGATAAAAAACTAAATGATAATCTGAATAAGGTCTATATTGTTACAAATTTATAACATTAAGAGTGTACATTAAGATTTTTTTTTATGTTTTAGAGTACAAATTAAGAATCGAAATATCTTTTAGACCGCAAAATAAGATTAACCCAATTATAAATTCCAATCTCAACTCACTAGAGATGTATATGGCTTGAGGCTTGAGGTTCATAGAGGGTTTACGTTGTAATTAAGACTCCAAAAAACATGTGGTTAGAACGTGTTTTTTTATTTTTTATTTTTTGTTAACAAAATCAAAAATTAGACTCATCAAAAATATGGATTTTATTAACTTTACTTTTCAAAATATTACGTCATGTTTTAATTGGTACTAAATAAAAAATATTATATCCAAAAATAACTTTTTGATATATCGATTGGGCCAATCGATGTAAGATTCATACAAGCCCAAAAAAATCTATTAATCAAAATAAATAATGAATGATTAAACTTTGATGAAATTAACAAAATTTTAAAGTTGAGAAGATCCTGATCTCTTTTCAATATAATTACTGACCTTTGGGATAAAACTTCAGGATCAATGGAGGTTCAAGTACCGAAGCTTAACGCATTTTTCAACTAAAATTCAATCTTTCAAAGTGAATTTATGACAAAAAAGTTAAAATCAACCCTAAAATGTTAAAGATATAGTCCAAAAACCTCAATTTAATGTGACTTAACCAAAAAAATTTATAACTTAACCGAGAAACTTATAAATATCGATATGATACTGTAATCTTAGATCAAAATCCTTAAGTTTGAAAGTTGGGATCCTTCCTTTTCTTCATACGGTGGGGGGTTTAGGCAGAACCATCAATATTGTGTCACGTGGCAACAGAGACAGATTTTTGGGTTGGGCAGCACTTGGAAGGTTGCTACAAGAACCCCCAAGAAGGAAAAGAAAGGGATTGCGTGAGAGCATTGCATTGCGATAATGTATGAAACTTTCCCAGAAAAGAAAAGGACCGAAGAGAATGGTGTTCTGGTTACCAAGAACCAAACTTTTAGGTGACTTCTGTTCTGTGTGGCTTTCAATTATTATCATTTTTAAGAGTAGGCAATCTACTATGCATACACCGGGAATTTGTGGTTTTCTCTCTCTCTCTCTCTCTCTACCTCTACCTACCTACACACATAAACAGGGATGACAATGGATCATGTAAAAACAAATATTCGTCCAAACTAATTCCGTTTAGATCAAGAATGAATCACACGTATTGAACGACAAACATATAGAAAAATATCCTTATAAATCCGTGCGGAGATAAACCGACACTTACCCCTACCCCTCTCTGTCCCGTTTTACTCATTATTATTATTATTATTTTGCATATATACATATTACTGTAAATTCAAATTTGCATATTATTAAATAATTTTTTCTTTTAATTTTTTTTTTTATGGTTTTGGTTTATAAAAGTGTACGTCTTTGTATTTTTATATTTTTTTTATGCTGAATTATGTTATATTACATTCTACTATCTTGCATAATATTGTGTTAAATTTACAAGGGAGACAAACTTTTAATTATATTATATTAAATTATGTTATAAACAAGATATTAATTATATTATGTTATAAAATAACAAACTTTTAATTATATTATAATATTCTATAATTATATTAAATTATTTAGAATATTAGATTTATTTACAATTTTAAATTATGTTGTCTTGAACTTGGACTTGGGCGGGTAAGGTAGACGAGGGTGGGAGCAGAGGTGAAGGCAGGGGGTGAGACTAGAGCGGAAATTATAAATTTACCCGCGTACAGAAATGAAAATGAAAACTATATCCGTTAACAGGGATAGACGAAATTTTTTTAAGCGGGTACGGAGATGGAGGCTACTCCCGCCTCCGCTTCGGTCCATTATCATCCCTACACATAAATATAACTTAAGAAAATAAAGAAGAACCTATCGTAAACACTAATTAGGGGCTCCTTAACGAAGGCTTAATCCTCCCAAGCTTCATCATTAGCAGCACCAACATTCATGCTCTCAAAACTACTACATATACAAATCAACTCAACTCAACAAAACCTTAATCCGACTATTTCAAGTTGATCACATAAATCCAATTCACCTGCTGTAATATACCAAGAATTACAGATCCTGGCAAACCATAGATTACCATATACTCTATTATCTCAATATACCTCTACTAGTATTATTATGAATAGATGACACATCTTTATTGGTGCAAAAACATCATTAATTTCAAGTTTTTGGTATCCTGTTAACCATATTTTTCTGAGATATTAATTCAGAAGAGGACTAAAGCTCTCAGTTTTGCCAAACCCAAGATAGTATTAATGTATTAGGATGATCTGCAGGCTGCAGCTGCTTGGCTCATGCTCCTCAAAAACTTTGGCAGCCAATATCCTCATCTGGATCCATATCATTTGGGGTCTGGTCCAGATTAAAACGAAGGATAATAGGAGGATTGGTAAGCAGCCCTACCAGCAACAACTGAATGAAGCTCAAAAAACCAAACACTCGTCTAGATACAGAATGACATCATGGAGATTAGCATACCATTTGAAGGCAACAAATTCCTACAAAACAGAACCAATAGTCATTAAATCATTTTATTAAAATATTATACTCATAAAAGAAAAAATCTAGGGGGACCCCCGGTGACCACAGCAAATCCCCACTCCCCCTCTTTGGTATGACAGAACATTTGTAACACATTTCTACCCGTTGGGAAAATAACACACAAAAGAAAGCTACAGTAATAATAAGTAACTAGAATATGCATAGAGATAAATAGTTTTTTTATTAAGAAACATAATATAATATAAAATAAACAAGTTACAAGAATATCATCTATCATACAATAACAGAGCACTAATATTACCAGAAAAGAGTGGAAACCAGATGTGAGTTGAAGTACTATCAAAAATATTTCTCATAGAGAAATTTTATTTCTATTCACTTGGTATACTGTGAGACCATGATTTGTAACCACATGGTTCACATTGATGATTTACACAGTCAAAGAATGACAGAAGAATCTTTTTATGAGCAAGAAAAAAGATGAATATTACATATTTACTTAAAGTGGTTGCTACAACTTATTTGGCTTGCTTACACCGATCATTGAATATGAGCAAATCATCTATTGCCTAGCTTATCACCAACCTCAATAAATGAGCAGTTTTTACAACCTGCGGCCACCAACGCCCAAAAATCATTTACCCAAATTAGATGACGTGTTTTTCCATGTTTTCTGTCCAGGCTAGCTGATGGATAGCTACCGAGTCTTGAACAGGCTTGATGAAACCTAAAAAGGAAAAAAAATAAAAACATCTTTCAGAAGAGTTGCAAAAAAGAAATCCAGAGGAAATGTAAAATGCATTATAAAATATTAGTGTTCAGAATTTTGGAAGCTAATTTTAATCATTGGCATTTCAGAAACTACAAAGCTTCCAACAATAAATATCATGTCCTCCACAGTTCCAAGAATCAAAGAGCATCAACCTGATCGCACAAGTAAAGCATTATGCACATGCCTAAACAGCTCCGAACATCATACAAAAGTAAAGAATGCTTAATTCGACGTACACACTCGTGCCTCAATCAGCTTTGATATCCAAAAGCAACCAATCTGACTAAATACCAAGTTTGTTCCTCAGAAAGTAAGTTGTGATCCAAGACCAGAAAAGTGTCGATCATAGGTCACTTGTTGACAACAAAAAAAAATTCAGTCAACAAAAGAGTGAATAGTGTATCACTCTTCCTCATACATCAGAATCCAATCCAGTCCCAAAATTTTCTGGATTTTCTCTATTGACAGGGTGGATTTTCTCTTTTCATTTCATCCAATCGGAGACTATGCCGTTATAAGTTGGGTTCACATCAAATAGTTGGCTACCAGCTAGAATAAATTCTGTCTATTTCAGAAGAAGTTAAGCACTCTAAAGCCTGCCCTAAAATAACAGGAAATCCATATTGCTGTTGGCTCTCTGCTGTCATGTCCAGACAAGGCAAGGATAAGTGAGCGTAGTGTATATTCCATTCTGATCCTAAAACCCTTCCTACCCACCTTTGGCAGATTTGACAAAATACCAGAAAGTATTACTGTTCTCTAATGGAACAGCATTTTTCACCAACGGCTACAAGTTTCAATTAGATCCCAATACTAGGGTCCATTGCAGCACTATACCCCATCAGTGGCTGAACATGTAGCAAAGATAAATACATAAAAGCAATAACACCCAATTTGGTCCTCAGTAATTGGGGTCTGAGAGGGGTAGATTGGAATATTTTACAAGCTTGGCTGCCCTCAGATTTGAACTCACAACCTTAAGCTTAATGGGCCAAATTTTTTACCACTGAATCAGTGGCAAAAATAAGTACATAATACAAAATATAAATCCATTCTCTTTGTGACACAACTTTGTGTCAGCATCTAAAAAGGCCACATGTCCATGCATCTCTCTTGCTCTGATGGAAATTTCTGTTCATCACTCAAACGATATACAACTCACATTGAACTGTTTCTTCTGGGAAATGAAAAATTTCCACCAAAAAACATAGGACATTCCTAGGACAATTTCACACCAATGTTACCTAGATCGTGGGTCACTTTGGTACGTGGTACGGGTATATGATATAACACTTTCTTAGGTACGTAGTACGATGGTGGTAAGTTTAGCTAATATGGTATTTTGGATCGCAATTTGTTTTAAAATTCTTATGCAGATTATTTTCACTACTATACAACATTATATATTATAGAATATTCATAAACACAAAGTTGATTACTATTTATCTTAAAATTGTGCTTATTTTCTATTATCTAAAACAATATATAATTTAAATCTATATACATGTAGTCAATTAATATGTATTTTATATTTGTGCTATATGTTCTAAAGCGAATTAATTTAGGGTTAGTATTACAATTTAGGATCGTCCATTTTGGTAATCAGGATTGCAAACCCACGTCGTTTTGGATCGATGTACCCAAATCGTGGGTCATTAAGGGTTTAGTGAATTGTGGTAACCAACCCATCAAAACCCAAGACAGAATCAAGCAGCAAGATAAAGAGTAAAACAGAAATTTAGAAAATAGAAAATAGAAAAAGAAATGAATAGACTTTTCTTAGGAACAATGAAACCAACCTTCAGATGGTGTGGCATAATTTTTATATCGTAAGGTACATGAAGCCATGCCTCTGGTGGATAGAACAAAAAGTTCTCTGGCTTACTGGTATACACATCGGCATATCGATGGATGTGATAAGCAAAAGCAGATTCTTGACCTGTATCAGTCAGAAATGTAGCTCCAAAAGATCTATTAAACATGCTTTTCATTATACAGCGTGCCTTCTGCCTCTCTTCATTCAACTCATTACAAAGAGACATGTATGCTTCACATCTTTGACTATTAGCCACAATTGCATGCAGTTTACCAAGAAGTTCTTGTATAATATGAAACTTTGCCTGTGTTCCAGAAACAAAAAAAGCATAAAACAGATCAGGGGTGAATCATGTGAACCCGTTTATACAGAGAACGGGATTAGCTTCAACCAAACCCGCTAATTTCGTATCAGTTTTGTAAGAATAAGCAGGGACCATGTTAAATACCCTCACTTTCAGATACATCTAGATACATTCAAATTTCAAACATAACTTCAAAAATACAATCCACAATTACAGACACTTCTTGGGCACGGGCACTTGATGGAAAAATTGGAAACGTGTATGCAGATTTTTCCACAGAAAAAGAAGTACAATTTATAAGAATTATATAATGTGGAATCACATAGAAACAACAATTACAAAATTTTACTGTACTTCAAAGCAAAAGCAATATACACGAAGGTTTCAAAGGAGAGGCAGCGCAAGAAGAATTGTCATCATAATAACTTCTAATACACAGAAATGTTCTCTATTTCATGCTCTATCTCTTTTGAATTTACTATTTTGACATGTCCCTGGCACCTTATGTTTGTGTGTTTACATTCTGTTTGCCACATGACCTACTTCATTGATAAAAAAAACACATTTGGCTTGTGATCCTACAGAATCAGACCAATTGATAAAATCAGACTGGTGGAGATTCTCAACGTCAACATTTATGTGGCATCATAGGATTGAACTTATTCAACCAGATCACCTACTCTATCCTACGAATAATTGTCGCTAGCAAACCAGGAAGAAATTTTCCTCCTTCCACTTGTCATACACATAAGAATAAGTACCAAGATGGACATCTTCATCGTGGAATCTATTACTTAATATCTTCCGCACATAGTCAATTACTTTCTAACACCTTTTATTATCTTGCTTTACTTTCCCAAAGCTTCAAGCCTGGAATGACTTCGACAACAATAAATATCAGCTTTTCTTCATAGATACAGATACATTTTTTTTCTCCATTCGCTTAACATCTTAATCTGTACAACCATGGATAATTCAACAAGCACATAGGAGTATCATCATCAATTATTACATGCCTCAAATGGAATCTATAGAGCCAATTGATCTATTCCAAGCTTTGGATGTTATATCTTCATGTAGAGACCAATAATTTTGGTCGCTAAAGGATTTCAACATAGTCCAAGGTTGCGGTATTAGTTAACGACATTGAAAGTATTGAGGCACATTGATTGCTACGTCGCAGAACGGTATGGATCATTTAGGCGGAATGTTAGATAAAAGGCCCAAAAAATTTGAAAAAAAACATGAAAAATTCTAAAAAAATGCAAACAACAAGATTTGTGCATTATGTGTCCATAGTACATCATGTAACCCAAAAAACTGCATGATCTTTTAAACTGTGAACACAAGAAGATGCAGGCGATGTGCAATGATTCCGAATTTACACATGCTTTCAATTTCTTCCTCTTGTTATGTAGTTGTATCGGGGTATTGTAGGTTTCTTGCATGAGTCATGGTTTCATCTTGTCTTCCTACTTTTTTTAGGGTTTTTGTGAATTTGATTTCTGAGATTTGACGATTATGGCGGTTAAACAAATGGCGTAGCTCACGCTCAACTCGTTTTTAGCTCACTCAAGCTTGCTTCTATTATAAAACAGGCCTGAACAAATATTTAGACTCGTTTTGATTCGAGCTAAACCAAGCCCAGCCCGAGCAATTCGCAAGCTAACTCGTTTTTCCTAATTGTAGAAAATATATTTGTGAACTATTAGAAATATCAAGGTCACTTTAGTAAAACTAGCAAATATATCTAATTTTAAATAGTTTACTTTGTCAAGTATCTATCCATTTACAACAAAGGTCTGCCACTTGCAGACAATCACGTGGGTTCCTCCCTCTCCTTAAAATAATTAAAACCTTTAATTCAACAGTTCATCACGTGATGTCTATCTGCCTTTATGACACACACACACACTCTCTCTCTTTCTTTCTCTCCCTCTGGCATGCACTCTTCAGTCCCATCTATCTCCCACCATTTCATCCAACTCTCTCTGTGTCTCTGTCCAACGTCTATCTCCCCTTCACAGACTGGGTTTTCTCTCTATCTCTATTTTCTCTTTCCTTCCTCTCCCATTGACTTGGTATTAAAACTCAAAAGATAGGGCAGTTCATCAATTCATCAAAAGAGTTTATACACTTTATATACATATCGATATGGGGTATTCTACTTTTAAGTGTTGTTTTGAATTTTGTTGTGCAAGTATCATGTAAAATTTAGGAGTTTCGATTTGAGACGTGTGAAATTTTTGAATTTGAAGTTTAGATGTGTTTTGAGACTTGCAAATTTGAAATTTGAGATTTATTCTCAAAGCTTGGTTTTGGCTTGAGCCCTTAGAACTTGTGCCACGCCAAGATTGAACAAAAAACTAAGTTCAGAATCTTGACTTGAGCCGAGCTTGAACAACCCCTCAATAACTCAAGGTGAGCATGAACATCATGGTTCAAGTTTGCAGTATTGGTCATCGAATTGGAAGACACGGTCACGGTGTCAAATCACGATATCGACCAAAAAATGCTAAAAATGCTAAACTATCCAAAAAATTACTAAAAAATAAAAAATAAATAAAAATTGTAAATACTAGCATTCATGCATCATGTCCAAAAAAATCATCTAACATTAAAATATAGCAAAAATAAATTATAAGGGAATTATCAGTAATATTGATAATTTTCAATTTAAGAATTTACGAAAGTAACATTTTATTATATAACTAATATTTCCACTACCCACAAAGGCAATCTCTTGTCATGTACATAATTGCATTTATGTTAAATAAAACCAATAGCCCAACAGGACCAAAACCCACCGTTACTCTCATATGATCAAAGATATAACATATTATATTAATGTGACTCTCAGTTATGGTCAAAGACTAAGACGTGATAATAAAGAAAAAGAGAACATGAGAAGTGTGAGGGATAAATTTCATTGAAGACGGAGAGAAAACTTTCAACCAAGTCGAAGACTTGCACCACAACATGGGAAGAAGGGATGAGAGCGCCACTATTACCTAAGCAAAGGAGGAATAAGAAGAAGAAAAAGAACGACTATGTGTTTTTGATCTAATAAAATTTTCTTGAAAATCCTTTCAATTATCTTTCCGTTTTTATTACTGTAAAAAGGTGGGATCAAGGGTTGCATAATTGCTTCTTTGTCACTGATTTAAGGTTGAAATCGATAAAGTGCATGCAAAGATCAAAATTTTGTTTCAAAACAGTTAAAATGTTCGAAATATTTTCGTTTCCATGAAGATCGAAATGAATTAGTGATGAAATCGAAATTTTAATACTTCAATGTGTTTATAATGTTACGAGGTATTGTTTAAGGTTTTCATTATGTTTCTGAAATACATCGAAACATTTTCGTTTCGTAAGTGACCGAAACAATACACCAAAACGAAATTTTGATCCTTGAGTACATGTAGTTTCTACATTGATGGGTCGTTGATTTTCTCTCTATTTTTTATCAATTCCTTGCTCATCAAACTTTTTCAGTCACAAAACAAACTGAATCTATGAATCTAGAAGTGGGTCTTGTTTCTTTTCTTCTACCTTTCTCTTTTTTTATGGTTCGACTCGGAGTCGAGATTGGATTTGCAAAATCCTAGTCAAGCCACAAAAAAACCATAAAAAAAACCAAGTCAAGACCAAGTCAGTTGTGTCTCACTATATTTGTGTAGTCTATTGAACTAGGCCGATACTTCGAACTTTGTTAAGCATACTTAAGCTCGAAAGACTTGACTCAATTAACATACCTATTGATAATGAATCATCCAACTTGGTGGTGGAGTTGACGGAATCAATGAGTTTTAGTGATTCAACTAATTTGTGTCCGAGTCGAGGACAATTCAATAGAGACTCTTGGATTGAGTAGAGTGTGCAGCGTTAGCAGTTTGGTTGAGGGCGGGCCATAATTTGAACCTTGATTTCCAATCCTCATGGAATTGATAAACTTTTTTTCTCTTTTCAATTTTTTGCACTCCTTTAATCAGTTAATAGTTGATATTTACTAACGAGAAGGGAATATTTCTAATCCAAAAAAAAAAAATACCTCTAGCAATGATCAAAATTTTGTTTCAGTGTATAGTTCTGATCAGCTTGAAAACTAACACCTTTGAAAAATTAAATGGCTAAAAAAATTAGAATTTTTATTTTCAACATTGAAATTTCGATTCCGAAACATCCCAAAACATCCTAATATTCGAAACGATTGGAATCTTAATTTTCAATTATTGATTCGTTTCGGTTTCCTGTTACGCCATAATAATCCCTTAAGTAGGAACAACCGAAACAAAACAAAATTTTGGCCCTTTCACCGGTGATAATCAATCCAATATAAAGGGACAAATGAGAAACAATGCCAAATGCATTGACTAATAGTCTACATTCAACAATCCAGAGATTGTAATGGCACGGCATGAGGGCAATGCCAAAGAACATCAACATTGTTCCTCCCACCACCAAAAACTGGTCAAAAATTTTCCAGTTCCAAAAGAAACTTTAGTTCGATATCGGATCTGCTGTGTAATTTATTACTTCCTATGACGCATATTGGTTCCACTTTAATGAAGAATAATTTTGAGAATAGATGCTTCAGGAACAGGAGGATTTTGGAATAGAATATAGTTATTCTGGTTGTTTTAAAATTTTTAATGAAGAGGAAACAGGGAATATACACAAATAGATCACAAGAAAAGGATAAAGATCAAACTAAGAAGAAAAGAATCTAACCAATACATCATTAAGTAAAGCTTTGAAACTTCAAGTTCTTAATTAAAGTGTACAAATGTTAAGGAAGAAAAATATCTATCTTCATAGACAAAACCCAATCATATCAATTAACCTAGCTAAGTGGTGGCTACCATCTAGTTCTTTCTTCGTAGTCCCCACTGGAGCTTTTAATTTACATTCCTGATACCCAAATCAAATAGGTCCACGCCGTGAAACTTCTATTTTAAGTAGTGTCAGGTTCTTCCCAGGGGTTTTTTCATGGACTAACCATGCAAGTATCAAGAATTGACTCATCCTATTAAACATCAGATTTCAGATGA